AAGTGACCTGCATTACTCAATCAGTACATTAGGTAACTAACAGCTGACCTATTTCATGTGCAATTTATGTTATGCTTCTCTAATTGACAGTAAATTAATTTTAGACAGGAAATTTAAGTATTAGAGTCAGCTTAGCAGACTGAAAACTAACTTTGGAGTAAGGAAAATCTGGGTTCAAATCCAACCTCAAATACATACTAGCTGTCTGATTCTGGATAAATCACTTAATCTCTCTGTGACCCTGGAAACCAAGACTATTGAGCTGCAGAAATGTTGCATCAGGAGCAGGGAGTTTCCTCACCAGAATTTCTCTACATCAGTGAAACTACAGGTAAGGAAGAAAAAATTAATGTCCTAAAAGATAAATGGCAATAAGACTTGAGTTTTTGTTGCCAGTTACAACCAAGCACCACTTATACTTGGGGAAAAAAAAGCTGGTCAAATAAAACTTGCCATATAAGATATGACTGCACCAACTTCTTTAAATAGTAAATAACTTCTTATACATATAACATTCGATTTATAGGAAAGTGTATGCAAGGCTAAAGCATTTTCAGCAATAAGTTTTAAAAATATATACAAAGGGCAGTTTTCTGAATACCACAAAAGCACATAGCTAAAACCAAAGTATTTGCAATGGAGAAATACCTGAAGCTTTCCCCATAAATGCAAGAGTAAGTCAAGGATACTCCCTTTCTGATTCCTTTCATTTCATAGTTCTAGAAATGCTAGCACTCACAAAAAGATCAGAGAAAAATATTAAAGGTATAAACATAGGTAAAGAGGAAACAAAATTACTTCTGTTTCCAATGTACTTCTTTATGAAACTAGACAAATTAATTACAATAAGCAGTAATCATAAAGAAACTATTTGATACTTAAAAAAAAACCAAATAGATCAGTGGAATAGATTAGATAAGAACAGTAGCTTATAAATACAAGCATTATATATCTATAGTGCTTTAAGGTTTGCAAAGTGCTTCACATATAGTATCTGATCTGATCCTCACAACAATCCTAAGAGGTAGGTGCTATTATTATCCACAAGTTACAGCTGAGAAAAGTGAGGCTGAGAGTTAGTAAGTGATGGAGGCAAGATCTGAAATGAGTTTTCCTGACTCCAAGTCTAGCTCGCTATATAGTACACTATTTTGTCTCAGAAACATCAAACTCAATAACCCACAGTGCTTGATAAACCTGAAATTATACATTGCATGGGCAAGAACTCTCTATTTAACAAGAATTAATGGGAAAATTGCAAAGTACGATAAGAGAAATTAGAATCAACTAAATTAGAAATTAATATCTTAAGCCATATACAAAGAGCTCAAAATGGATATGCAACCTAAATATTAAAAGTTGTGATAAATATGGAAATATGTTTTGTATGATTACATATGTATAACCTATATCAACTGCTTACTGTCTGGGGTGGGGGAAGAGATGAAGGAAGAGGATATGGCACTCAAAAAATGAATGCTAAAAATTGTTTTTACATGTAAATTGGGAAAAAAATAAAATATTATTTAAAAAAATTACCTTCCATTTGTTCTGTATATGTATCTATATGTATCTAGCTATTTACATGTTGACTCTCCCTTTAGAATGTAAGTTTCATAAGGCCAGGAACAATTTCTTGCCTTTCTCTGTATTACCCAACCCTTAGCACAGTGTCTGACATGTAATAAGTACTTAATAAATGCTTGGTGACTAACTGATGAATGAATGTAAAGCCAATAAAAAAAAATTACAGATAACTAAATAAAAGAATCCATTACTCTAAAAGATTAAAACAAAGATTTTAATTTGTCATAAACAAACAGATTTCCAATGGTTATGATACATACAAGCTTGAGGAAGCATGTTTTTTATATAAACTTTGTAAGCTCTCCAGCAGTACCCAGTACAGAAAAGGTCCTTAAATTAATGCATGCTGTCTTACGTGGAATCAATGAATAGAAAGTATAAACATTAATAAAAGACGATAAAAAAGGGGAGGCTCTGAAAAATTAGCCTTACCTGTCTTTTTGATAAGTTCCAAGCATCCTTTAGGTGTACAGGGAATGAAACAATCCTCTAAGTCACCTCTAGCAAGCTTCCCAGCACTGACGCTAGTCAAACTGAAACATTAAATTAAAGGCAGAATGAGTGAGAACAAGGCAATTTAAACATTGGTATGGAGCTTCCCTGAGTTACCAATACATGTTTTAAAGATACAACAGCTTTAAAATGAAGTGACTCAAAAAGTCAAACACACCCATCCACATCCTTTTCGGGAGCGATGGTATTTGTCACCAGCTCAGTGCTAATGGTCTTTTCTGCATCCAAAGGTAACTGGACCAGGAGTCCATGTACAGTAGGGTCTTCATTCAAAGATGTGATGCACTTTAAAACCTAAAAACAAATTTTACAAGTTAAAGAAGGTAGAGTGTAGGAATGGAGACTATTGTAAGGCAAAACATATCCAACCTCATTTCCCCTCTAAGAGTTTTAGTTCAGAGAGTTCAAAGAAAAAACCCACTATCACATAGGTCCTGCATATAACTTTCTTGTTAGACCAAAACACCTCCCAATAATATCTCTAGATACTAGAGAGGTATGTTGAGGCAGCAGTTAAAGAAAGGTTTGCAGGTAGTGGGTGGGAGAGGTGGCATGGGAACCGCTGGGGATAAATGGTCTAGATCTGTGATTTCATTGTTGTAAGGCATTCTCAGTGAAGAAGCTCCTACCAATGCAGATAGTTAGATAGAAGAATGCAACTTCTGCACTTTATAGTTCTAGAGAGATGTCTGGGACACTGAGAAGTTAAGTAACTTGTCCAAGGGCACACAGTTAATGCATCAGAGATAACACTTGAACCCAGGTCTTCCTGACACTGAGGTTGGTTCTCTGATCAGTACGTTGCTCTGCTTCTCGGCCTTCCTTCTTACTCAGCCATTTAGGGCCCTGTTATGAGCTTATTTTTATTTCTTATTAATGGAATGCTTTTGTTCACAAGTCAGTTGAATAAGCATTTATTAAGTGCCTACTACCAAACAATCAAAAAGCATTTATTAAAAATCTACTCAAAGAAAGTTTGTAAAGGCAAAAATGACATCGTTTCTGCCCTGAGAGTCTTCTTTCTATAGAAGGAGACAACAAATATACATATAAATACATAAAACAGATACAAGGTAAATTTTTTTGGGAGGGGGGTTATTAGCAGCCAGGATGATCAGAAAAGGCCTCATGTAGGGAACGGCATTTGGGCTGAGCTTTAAAGGGAACTAGGGATTCAAAAGGTAGAGGTGAGGTGAGGAGGAAATGGATTCAAGGCCTGAGGGTCAGCCTGTGCAAAGGTACGGAGATGGGACGGAATGTCATGGATGAGGAATAGGACAGCAGGCCAGTCTGGCTGGAATGGAGACGAGATGAAGGCAGGAATATCAAACCAGCCTGGAAAAGTCAGCTAAGTGCTTTAAATTCCAAACAGAAGTTTGTATTTTATTCTAGAGACAAAACAGGTTTGTTGAGTAGGGAAGTGACCTGTGTTTGAGGAAGGTAATTTTGGCACTTGTGCTGGGGATGAATGAGAGAGGGGAAAAAGAATAGAAGCTGGGACAGCAATTAGGAAGACATTCCATACTCCAAGTATGAAGGTCTGATTATAGAATTTACCCCTTGAGAGTAAAGGAAAGGAGATTTATAAGAAACAATGGATTCAATATAGATATTAAACTTTTTATGTAATTTCATATGTAGAACCTCTTATGTAGAACTAGGTTATCTGTACCTCTTATGTATTTGAGTTATTTTATGTGATGACTGTATGCTCTATGAGGACAGGGGTCAGGTATTTATTCTTTGTATTTCCCTTAGTTACTAGCACAATGCTCTAAACACAGCAGACACTTAATAGATGTGTGTTGAATCACCTGCATCACAGGATTACACCACTTATTCTGGGTCTCTTCCTTTGAAGTAAGCAGCCTTGAATATGGGGCAAGGTATGTACCTATCACACACAAACCCCTTAGCCCTGAAAATGTCACAAATCATAACCATGATATGGAACCATAAGAAGGTTTGTTCCACATGAACCCAACAGCTTACCTCTGCCTCAGTTGAGTTTCTTGGTAATTTAAT